TACACACACCTACACACACACCTACACCTACACACACACCTACACACACCTACACACACACCTACACACACACCTACACACACACACACCTACACACACACCTACACACACACCTACACACACACCTACACACACACACACCTACACACACACCTACACACACCTACACCTACACACACACCTACACCTACACACACCTACACACACACAGACACACACCTACACACACGCACACCTACACACACACCTACACACACACCTACACACACACAGCTACACACACACACAGCTACACACACACACACCTACACACACCTCCACACACAGCTACACACACACCTACACACACCACACACCCACCTACACACACCTACATACACACCTACACCTACACACACACCTACTCACACCTACACACAAACCTACACACACACCTACACACACACACCTACACCTACACACACACCTACACACCTACACACACACCTACACACCTACACACACACCTACACACACACCTACACACACACACCTACACACACACACACACCTACACACACACACACCTACACACACACCTACACACACACACAGCTACACACACACCTACACACACACCTACACACACACCTACACCTACACACACACACCTACACACACCTACACACACACCTACACACACACACAGCTACACACACACAGAGACACACACACCTACACACAGACCCACACACACACCTACACACACACCTACACACACACACCTACACAAAGACACACACCTACACACACACACAGAGACATACACCTACACACACACACACACCTACACAGAGAGACCTACACAAAGAGACACACACCTACACACACACACACCTACACACACCTACACACACACACCTACACACACACACACACCTACACACACACCTACACACCTACACCTACACACAGACCTACACACCTAGACACCTACACACACACACACCTACACACACACACACACAGACACACACCTACACACACCTACACACCTACACACACACCTACACCTACACACACACCTACACACACACAGCTACACACACACACCTACACACACCTACACACCTACACACAGCTACACACACACCTACACACACACCTACACCTACACACACACCTACACACACACACCTACACACACCTACACACACCTACACACACACCTACACACACACACAGCTACACACACACAGAGACACACACAGAGACACACACACCCACACACACACCTACACACACACACACCTACACACACCTACACACACACACCTACACACACACACCTACACACACACCTACACACCTGCACCTACACACAGACCTACACACCTAGACACCTACACACACACACACCTACACACACACCTACACACACACACACACAGACACACACCTACACACACCTACACACCTACACACACACCTACACCTACACACACACCTACACACACACAGCTACACACACACCTACACACACCTACACACACACCTACACACACACCTACACCTACACACACACCTACACACACACACCTACACACACCTACACACACCTACACACACACCTACACACACACACAGCTACACACACACAGAGACACACACACCTACACACACACCCACACACACACCTACACAAAGACACACACCTACACACACACACAGACATACACCTACACACACACACACCTACACAGAGAGACCTACACAAAGAGACAAAGATAAAGATCCCCCATATAGCCTTAACAGACTGTAGGGGCAAGTGCTGTTAGCGAGCACCTATGAAGGCCGGAACAGTACACGAGGGGGTGGGGGGCCAGCACCACGCCCGACCGCCTTTGTCTCCCTAGTGGCAATGTTTACACACTGCACCAGGTACTCATTTGAGGCTGAGTCGACCTAGGGGAGGCCCGGGACCGGCTCAGATAATCGTCACTGGTGTTGGCCGTGAGCGGGAAACGAACCCGGGTCGCCAGGTTCATAGCGCAGCGTAGTGCTAACCGCTACACTATCGCTCCCCACACACAAAGAGACACACACCTACACACACACATACACACCTACACACACACACACACACCTACACACACACACCTACACACACACACACCTACACACACACACCTACACACGTACCTCTTGGCCGGTGAGGAACAGCAAGAGATCACCCTCGTCCTCCTCACACACAGAGACACACACAGCTACACACACACACACCTACACACACACCTACACACACACACACACACACCTACACACACACACCTACACACACACACCTACACACACACACCTACACACACACACCTACACACACACACCTACACACACACACACACCTACACACACACACACACCTACACAGAGAGACCTACACACAGAGACACACACCTACACACACACCTACACACACACACAGCTACACACACACCTACACACCTACACGTACCTCTTGGCCGGTGAGGAACAGCAAGAGATCACCCTCGTCCTCCTCACACACAGAGACACACACACCTACACACACCTACACACACACACCTACACACACACACCTACACACAGAGACACACACCTACACACACAGAGACACACATACACACACACCTACACACACACACACACACCTACACACAGAGACACACACCTACACAGAGAGACCTACACACACACCTACACACACTCACACACCTACACAGAGAGACCTACACACACACCTACACCTACACACACACCTACACACACACACACACCTACACACACACACCTACACACGTACCTCTTGGCCGGTGAGGAAGAGCAAGAGATCACCCTCGTCCTCCTCACACACAGAGACACACACACCTACACACACACACAGAGACACACACAGAGACACACACACCTACACACGTACCTCTTGGCCGGTGAGGAAGAGCAAGAGATCACCCTCGTCCTCCTCACACACAGAGACACACACACCTACACACACACACACCTACACACACACACAGCTACACACACACAGAGACACACACAGAGACACACACACCTACACACACACAGCTACACACGTACCTCTTGGCCGGTGAGGAACAGCAAGAGATCACCCTCGTCCTCCTCACACACAGAGACACACAGCTACACACACACCTACACATCTACACACACACCTACACACACAGCTACACACACACACAGAGACACACACAGAGACACACACACACAGCTACACACGTACCTCTTGGCCGGTGAGGAAGAGCAAGAGATCACCCTCGTCCTCCTCACACACAGAGACACAAACACCTACACACACACAGCTACACACACACACCTACACACCTACACACACACACACCTACACACACACCTACACACACACACCCACACACACACCTACACACGTACCTCTTGGCCGGTGAGGAAGAGCAAGAGATCACCCTCGTCCTCCTCACACACAGAGACACACAGCTACACACACACCTACACATCTACACACACACCTACACACACACACCTACACACGTACCTCTTGGCCGGTGAGGAAGAGCAAGAGATCACCTTCGTCCTCCTCACACACACACACCTACACACCTACACACCTACACACACACACACACACCCACACACACAGCTACACACGTACCTCTTGGCCGGTGAGGAACAGCAAGAGATCACCCTCGTCCTCCTCACACACAGAGACACACAGCTACACACACACCTACACATCTACACACACACCTACACACACAGCTACACACACACACCTACACACACACCTACACACGTACCTCTTGGCCGGTGAGGAAGAGCAAGAGATCACCCTCGTCCTCCTCACACACAGAGACACACACACCTACACACACACACAGAGACACACACAGAGACACACACAGAGACACACACACCTACACACACACCTACACACACACACCTACACACCTACACACACACACAGCTACACACACACAGAGACACACACAGAGACACACACACCTACACACACACAGCTACACACGTACCTCTTGGCCGGTGAGGAACAGCAAGAGATCACCCTCGTCCTCCTCACACACAGAGACACACACCTACACACACACCTACACATCTACACACACACCTACACACACAGCTACACACACACACAGAGACACACACAGAGACACACACACACCTACACACGTACCTCTTGGCCGGTGAGGAACAGCAAGAGATCACCCTCGTCCTCCTCACACACAGAGACACACACACCTACACACACACACAGAGACACACACAGAGACACACACACCTACACACACACACAGAGACACACACACCTACACACACACCTACACACGTACCTCTTGGCTGGTGAGGAAGAGCAAGAGATCACCCTCGTCCTCCTCACACACAGAGACACACACACCTACACACACACAGCTACACACACACACCTACACACCTACACACACACACAGCTACACACACACACCTACACACACACCTACACACACACCTACACACACACACCTACACGTACCTCTTGGCCGGTGAGGAAGAGCAAGAGATCACCCTCGTCCTCCTCACACACAGAGACACACAGCTACACACACACCTACACATCTACACACACACCTACACACACACCTACACACACACACCTACACACGTACCTCTTGGCCGGTGAGGAAGAGCAAGAGATCACCCTCGTCCTCCTCACACACAGAGACACACAGCTACACACACACCTACACATCTACACACACACCTACACACACACCTACACACACACACAGAGACACACACAGAGACACACACACACAGCTACACACGTACCTCTTGGCCGGTGAGGAAGAGCAAGAGATCACCCTCGTCCTCCTCACACACAGAGACACACACCTACACACACACCTACACATCTACACACACACCTACACACACAGCTACACACACACACAGAGACACACACAGAGACACACACACAGCTACACACGTACCTCTTGGCCGGTGAGGAAGAGCAAGAGATCACCCTCGTCCTCCTCACACACAGAGACACACACCTACACACACACACCTACACACACACCTACACACACACCTACACACGTACCTCTTGGCCGGTGAGGAAGAGCAAGAGATCACCCTCGTCCTCCTCACACACAGAGACACACACCTACACACACACCTACACATCTACACACACACCTACACACACACCTACACACGTACCTCTTGGCCGGTGAGGAAGAGCAAGAGATCACCCTCGTCCTCCTCACACACAGAGACACACACACCTACACACACACAGCTACACACACACACCTACACACCTACACACACACACAGCTACACACACACAGAGACACACACAGAGACACACACACCTACACACACACAGCTACACACGTACCTCTTGGCCGGTGAGGAAGAGCAAGAGATCACCCTCGTCCTCCTCACACACACACACACCTACACCTACACACAGCTACACAAAGATAAAGACAAAGATCCCCCATATAGCCTGTAACAGACTGTAGGGGCAAGTGCTGTTAGCGAGCACCTATGAAGGCCAGAACGGTAAACGAGGGGGTGGGTGGCCAGCACCACGCCCGACCGCCTTTGTCACAGCTACACACACACACCTACACCTACACACACAGCTACACACGTACCTCTTGGCCGGTGAGGAAGAGCAAGAGATCACCCTCGTCCTCCTCACACACAGAGACACACACCTACACACACACCTACACACACACACCTACACACACACCTACACACACACCTACACACGTACCTCTTGGCCGGTGAGGAAGAGCAAGAGATCACCCTCGTCCTCCTCACACACACACACACCTACACCTACACACAGCTACACACACACACCTACACCTACACACACAGCTACACACGTACCTCTTGGCCGGTGAGGAAGAGCAAGAGATCACCCTCGTCCTCCTCACACACAGAGACACACACCTACACACACACCTACACATCTACACACACACCTACACACACAGCTACACACACACACAGAGACACACACACCTACACACACACAGCTACACACGTACCTCTTGGCCGGTGAGGAACAGCAAGAGATCACCCTCGTCCTCCTCACACACAGAGACACACACCTACACACACACCTACACATCTACACACACACCTACACACACAGCTACACACACACAGAGACACACACAGAGACACACACACCTACACACACACAGCTACACACGTACCTCTTGGCCGGTGAGGAACAGCAAGAGATCACCCTCGTCCTCCTCACACACAGAGACACACACACCTACACACACACAGCTACACACACACACCTACACACACACACAGCTACACACACACAGAGACACACACAGAGACACACACACCTACACACACACACACAGCTACACACGTACCTCTTGGCCGGTGAGGAAGAGCAAGAGATCACCCTCGTCCTCCTCACACACAGAGACACACACACCTACACACACACACACCTACACACACACAGCTACACACACACAGAGACACACACAGAGACACACACACCTACACACACACACACAGCTACACACGTACCTCTTGGCCGGTGAGGAAGAGCAAGAGATCACCCTCGTCCTCCTCACACATGTGTATCTGGATGACCGTGCGTATCGCCGCCTCTAAGTAGTCTCGCTCCGGCTCGGGCGTGTAGAATATCTCCACAGGATGAGTTCGGCCGGGGATGCTCATCAGCGGGCAGCGGTCAAAGTATTCCTGGAACTTGCCAGCGTCCAGCGTCGCGCTCATGATGATGATCTGGGCGGTGGTGGTGGTGGTGGTCGTGGTTAGAATTGAGAGTCAGAGAGACACGTGGAGATATCTGTAGAGATACGTGGATGTGATGGTGATCTGGGCGGTGGTGGTGGTGGTTGTTAGAATTGAGACTCACAGAGATACGTGGAGATGATGATGATGTGGGTAGTGGTGGTGGTGGTGGTGGTTAGAATTGAGACTCAGACATATGTGGAGATGATGATGATCTGGGCGGTGGTGGTGGTGGTGGTTAGAATTGAGAGTCAGAGAGACAAGTGGAGATATCTGTAGAGATACGTGGATGTGATGGTGATCTGGGCGGTGGTGGTGGTGGTTGTTAGAATTGAGACTCAGAGATACGTGGATGTGATGGTGATCTGGGTGGTGGTGGTGGTTAGAATTGAGAGTCAGAGAGACAAGTGGAGATATCTGTAGAGATACGTGGATGTGATGGTGATCTGGGCGGTGGTGGTGGTGGTGGTTAGAATTGAGAGTCAGAGAGACACGTGGAGATATCTGTAGAGATACGTGGATGTGATGGTGATCTGGATGGTGGTGGTGGTTGTTAGAATTGAGACTCACAGAGATACGTGGAGATGAGGATGATGATCTGGGCGGTGGTGGTGGTGGTGGTTAGAATTGAGAGTCAGAGAGACAAGTGGAGATATCTGTAGAGATACGTGGATGTGATGGTGATCTGGGTGGCGGTGGTGGTGGTGGTGGTTAGAATTGAGAGTCAGAGAGACACGTGGAGATATCTGTAGAGATATGTGGATGTGATGGTGATCTGGATGGTGGTGGTGGTTGTTAGAATTGAGACTCACAGAGATACGTGGAGATGATGATGATGTGGGTAGTGGTGGTGGTGGTGGTGGTTAGAATTGAGACTCAGACATATGTGGAGATGATGATGATCTGGGCGGTGGTGGTGGTGGTGGTGGTTAGAATTGAGAGTCAGAGAGACACGTGGAGATGAGGATGGTGATCTGGGTGGTGGTGGTGGTGGTTAGAATTGAGAGTCAGAGAGACAAGTGGAGATATCTGTAGAGATACGTGGATGTGATGGTGATCTGGGTGGTGGTGGTGGTGGTGGTGGTGGTTAGAATTGAGAGTCAGAGAGACACGTGGAGATATCTGTAGAGATACGTGGATGTGATGATGATCTGGGCGGTGGTGGTGGTGGTGGTGGTTAGAATTGAGAGTCAGAGAGACAAGTGGAGATATCTGTAGAGATACGTGGATGTGATGGTGATCTGGATGGTGGTGGTGGTGGTTGTTAGAATTGAGACTCACAGAGATACGTGGAGATGATGATGATGTGGGTAGTGGTGGTGGTGGTGGTGGTTAGAATTGAGACTCAGACATATGTGGAGATGATGATGATCTGGGCGGTGGTGGTGGTGGTGGTTAGAATTGAGAGTCAGAGAGACAAGTGGAGATATCTGTAGAGATACGTGGATGTGATGATGATCTGGGCGGTGGTGGTGGTCGTGGTTAGAATTGAGACTCACAGAGACACGTGGAGATATCTGTAGAGATACGTGGATGTGATGATGATCTGGATGGTGGTGGTGGTTGTTAGAATTGAGACTCACAGAGATACGTGGAGATGATGATGATGTGGGTAGTGGTGGTGGTGGTGGTGGTTAGAATTGAGACTCAGACATATGTGGAGATGATGATGATCTGGGCGGTGGTGGTGGTGGTGGTGGTGGTTAGAATTGAGAGTCAGAGAGACAAGTGGAGATATCTGTAGAGATACGTGGATGTGATGATGATCTGGGCGGTGGTGGTGGTGGTGGTCGTGGTTAGAATTGAGAGTCAGAGAGACACGTGGAGATATCTGTAGAGATACGTGGATGTGATGGTGATCTGGATGGTGGTGGTGGTGGTGGTTAGAATTGAGACTCACAGAGATACGTGGAGATGATGATGATGTGGGTAGTGGTGGTGGTGGTTAGAATTGAGAGTCAGACATATGTGGAGATGATGATGATCTGGGCGGTGGTGGTGGTGGTTAGAATTGAGAGTCAGAGAGACAAGTGGAGATATCTGTAGAGATACGTGGATGTGATGATGATCTGGGCGGTGGTGGTGGTGGTGGTTGTTAGAATTGAGACTCAGAGATATGTGGAGATGATGGTGATCTTGGTGGTGGTGGTGGTTAGAATTGAGACTCACAAAGACACGTGGAGATATCTGTAGAGATACGTGGATGTGATGGTGATCTGGATGGTGGTGGTGGTTGTTAGAATTGAGACACAGAGATATGTGGAGATGATGGTGATCTGGATGGTGGTGGTGGTGGTGGTGGACGTGGTTAGAATTGAGACTCACAGAGACACGTGGAGATATCTGTAGAGATACGTGGATGTGATGGTGATCTGGATGGTGGTGGTGGTGGTGGTTAGAATTGAGACTCACAGAGACACGTGGAGATATCTGTAGAGATACGTGGATGTGATGGTGATCTGGGTGGTGGTGGTTAGAATTGAGACACAGAGATATGTGGAGATGATGGTGATCTTGGTGGTGGTGGTGGTGGTTAGAATTGAGACTCACAAAGACACGTGGAGATATCTGTAGAGATACGTGGATGTGATGGTGATCTGGATGGTGGTGGTGGTTGTTAGAATTGAGACACAGAGATATGTGGAGATGATGGTGATCTGGATGGTGGTGGTGGTGGTGGTGGACGTGGTTAGAATTGAGACTCACAGAGACACGTGGAGATATCTGTAGAGATACGTGGATGTGATGGTGATCTGGATGGTGGTGGTGGTGGTTGTTAGAATTGAGACTCACAGAGACACGTGGAGATATCTGTAGAGATACGTGGATGTGATGGTGATCTGGGTGGTGGTGGTTAGAATTGAGACACAGAGATATGTGGAGATGATGGTGATCTTGGTGGTGGTGGTGGTTAGAATTGAGACTCACAAAGACACGTGGAGATATCTGTAGAGATACGTGGATGTGATGGTGATCTGGATGGTGGTGGTGGTTGTTAGAATTGAGACACAGAGATATGTGGAGATGATGGTGATCTGGATGGTGGTGGTGGTGGACGTGGTTAGAATTGAGACTCACAGAGACACGTGGAGATATCTGTAGAGATACGTGGATGTGATGGTGATCTGGATGGTGGTGGTGGTGGTTGTTGTTAGAATTGAGACTCACAGAGACACGTGGAGATATCTGTAGAGATATGTGGATGTGATGGTGATCTGGATGGTGGTGGTGGTGGTTAGAATTGAGACACAGAGATATGTGGAGATGATGGTGATCTTGGTGGTGGTGGTGGTTAGAATTGAGACTCACAGAGACACGTGGAGATATCTGTAGAGATACGTGGATGTGATGGTGATCTTGGTGGTGGTGGTGGTGGTTGTTAGAATTGAGACTCACAGAGACACGTGGAGATATCTGTAGAGATATGTGGATGTGATGGTGATCTTGGTGGTGGTGGTGGTGGTTAGAATTGAGACTCAGAGAGATACGTGGATGTGATGGTGATCTGGATGGTGGTGGTGGTGGTTAGAATTGAGACTCACAGAGACACGTGGAGATATCTGTAGAGATACGTGGATGTGATGGTGATCTTGGTGGTGGTGGTGGTTAGAATTGAGACTCACAGAGACACGTGGAGATATCTGTAGAGATACGTGGATGTGATGGTGATCTGGGTGGTGGTGGTGGTGGTTAAAATTGAGACTCACAGAGACACGTGGAGATATCTGTAGAGATACGTGGATGTGATGGTGATCTTGGTGGTGGTGGTTAGAATTGAGACTCACAGAGACACGTGGAGATATCTGTAGAGATACGTGGATGTGATGGTGATCTGGATGGTGGTGGTGGTTGTTAGAATTGAGACTCAGAGAGATATGTGGAGATGATGTTGATCTGGGTGGTGGTGGTGGTGGTGGTGGTTAGAATTGAGATTCACAGAGACACGTGGAGATGATGATGATGTGGGTAGTGGTGGTGGTTGTTAGAATTGAGACTCAGAGATATGTGGAGATGATGGTGATCTTGGTGGTGGTGGTTAGAATTGAGACTCACAGAGACACGTGGAGATATCTGTAGAGATACGTGGATGTGATGGTGATCTTGGTGGTGGTGGTGGTTAGAATTGAGACCCATAGAGATACGTGGAGATGATGGTGATTTTGCTGGTGGTGGTGGCGGTGGTTAGAATTGAGACTCACAAAGACACGTGGGGATATCTGTAGAGATACGTGGATGTGATGGTGATCTGCGTGTGGCTGGGTGAGTGAGTGAGTGAGTGGCTGGGTGAGTGAGTGGGTGAGTGAGTGGGTGAGTGAGTGGGTGAGTGGCTGAGTGAGTGAGTAAGTGAGTGAGTGGCTGGGTGAGTGGGTGGGTGAGTGAGTGAGTGAGTGGGTGAGTGAGTGAGTGTGTGAGTGAGTGAGCAAGTGAGTGGATGAGTGAGTGGCTGGGTGAGTGAGCGAGTGAGTGAGCGAGTGAGTGGTTGAGTGAGTGAGTGAGTGGCTGGCTGAGTGGTTGAGTGAGTGGCTGGGTGGGTGAGTGAGTGGCTGGGTGAGTGAGTGGCTGAGTGGCTGGGTGAGTGAGTGAGTGAGTGTTTGAGTGAGTGGCTGGCTGAGTGGTTGAGTGGCTGGGTGAGTGGGTGAGTGGTTGGGTGAGTGAGTGAGCGAGTGAGTGAGTGAGTGTGTGAGTGAGTGAGTGAGTGGGTGAGTGAGTGAGTGAGTGGCTGGGTGAGTGAGTGAGTGGTTGAGTGGCTGAGTGGTTGAGTGAGTGAGCGAGGAAGCACCTTGAGGTCCGCCCTCTGTTTGGTGATCTCCTTGAGGACTCCCATGAGGATGTCCGTGGCCAGCGTGCGCTCGTGAGTGAGTGAGTGAGTGGCTGGGTGAGTGAGTGAGCGAGTGAGTGAGCGAGTGGCTGGCTGAGTGAGTGAGTGGGTGGCTGGCTGAGTGAGTGAGTGGCTGGCTAAGTGAGTGAGTGGCTGGGTGAGTAGGTGAGTGGCTGGGTGAGTGAGTGAGTGGGTGGCTGGCTGAGTGGTTGAGTGAGTGAGTGAGGAAGCACCTTGAGGTCAGCCCTCTGTTTGGTGATCTCCTTGAGGACTCCCATGAGGATGTCCGTGGCCAGCGTGCGCTCGTGAGCTTCGTCCAGCATGACCACTCCGTATCGCTCCAGTAGGGGGTCGTTCATCGCCTCGCGAAGGAGCATGCCGTCAGTCATGTACCTGGACGTGTCACACACACAGTGTCACACACAGTGTCACACACACAGTGTACACACACAGTGTCACACACACACAGTGTCACACTCCGTATCGCTCCAGTAGGGGGTCGTTCATCGCCTCGCGAAGGAGCATGCCGTCAGTCATGTACCTGGACGTGTCACACACACACACACAGTGTAGTACACACAGTGTACACACACACACAGTGTCACACACACACAGTGTCACACACACAGTGTCACACACACAGTGTACACACACAGTGTCACACACACAGTGTCACACACACACACACAGTGTCACACACACAGTGTCACACACACAGTGTCACACACAGTGTCACACACAGTGTCACACAGTGTCACACACACAGTGTCACACACACAGTGTCACACACAGTGTCACACACACAGTGTCACACACACACAGTGTACACACAGTGTACACACACACAGAGACACACAGTGTCACACACACACAGTGTCACACACACACAGTGTCACACACACACAGTGTCACACACACACAGTGTGACACACACAGTGTTACACAGTGTGACACACACACAGTGTAGTACACACAGTGTACACACACACAGTGTCACACACACACAGTGTCACACACAGTGTGACACACACAGTGTACACACACAGTGTCACACACACAGTGTCACACACACAGTGTACACACACAGTGTCACACACACAGTGTCACACACACACACACAGTGTCACACACACAGTGTCACACACACAGTGTCACACACACAGTGTCACACACACAGTGTACACACACAGTGTCACACACACAGTGTCACACACACAGTGTCACACACAGTGTCACACACACAGTGTCACACACACACACACAGTGTCACACACACAGTGTCACACACACACACACACAGTGTCACACACACAGTGTCACACACACACACACACAGTGTCACACACACAGTGTCACACACACACACACACAGTGTTACACACACAGTGTCACACACACACAGTGTCACACACACACACAGTGTCACACACACACAGTGTCACACACACACAGTGTCACACACAGTGTTACACACAGTGTCACACACACAGTGTCACACACACACACACACAGTGTCACACACACAGTGTCACACACACACAGTGTCACACTCCGTAGCGCTCCAGTAGGGGGTCGTTCATCGCCTCGCGAAGGAGCATGCCGTCAGTCATGTACCTGGACGTGTCACACACACACACAGTGTAGTACACACACACAGTGTTACACACACAGTGTACACACAGTGTTACACACACAGTGTACACACACAGTGTCACACACACACAGTGTCACACACACAGTGTACACACACACAGTGTCACACACACAGTGTCACACACAGTGTCACACACAGTGTCACACACACACAGTGTACACACACACACAGTGTACACACACACATAGTGTCACACACACACAGTGTCACACACAGTGTCACACACACAGTGTACACACACACACAGTGTCACACACACACAGTGTCACACACAGTGTCACACACAGTGTCACACACACAGTGTACACACACACACAGTGTCACACACAGTGTCACACACACAGTGTCACACACACAGTGTTACTCACACAGTGTCACACACACAGTGTCACACACACACAGTGGTACACACACAGTGTCACACACACACAGTGTCACACACACACACAGTGTCACACACACACAGTGTCACACACACACAGTGTCACACACACACACAGTGTCACACACAGTGTTACACACAGTGTCACACACACAGTGTCACACACACACACACACAGTGTCACACACACAGTGTCACACACACAGAGACACACAGTGTCACACACACACAGTGTCACACTCCGTATCGCTCCAGTAGGGGGTCGTTCATCGCCTCGCGAAGGAGCATGCCGTCAGTCATGTACCTGGACGTGTCACACACACAGTGGTACACACACACAGTGTCACACACACAGTGTACACACACAGTGTCACACACACACACAGTGTAGTACACACAGTGTTACACACAGTGTTACACAGTGTGACACACACAGTGTCACACACACAGTGTCACACACACTGTGTGTGTCACACTGTGTGTCACACAGTGTCACACACAGTGTGACACACAGTGTTACAAACACACAGTGTCACACACAGTGTCACAGTGTTACACACACAGTGTCACACACACAGTGTCACACACACAGTGTCACACACAGACACAGTGTACACACACACACAGTTTCACACACACACAGTGACAGACACAGTTTCACACACACACAGTGTCACACACAGACACAGTGTACACACACACACAGTGTACACACACACACAGTGACAGACACAGTTTCACACACACACAGTGACAGACACACACACAGTGTCACACACACACAGTGTCACACACAGACACCCCCACACCCACTCACCCACCCACTCCACCCACCCATCCACTCACTCACTCACCCACCCTCTCACCCTCTCACTCAACCACCCACACCTTCCACACCACCCACGCCACCCACACCACCCACACCACACCCACCCACACCACTCACTCACTCACTCACCCACCCACTCACCCACCCACACACCCACCCACACACCCACCCACACCACTCACTTGAGCACAGTCTTGGGACTGCTACAGTCCTCGAAGCGAATCGAGAACCCGACCTCCTGGCCCAGCGCCACGTCCATCTCGTCCACCACGCTCATCGCAGCCACACTCCACCCACCACCACCCACCCACCCACCCACCACCCACTCCACCCACTCACTCACACACCACTCACTCACTCATCCACTCACTCACTCACCCACTCACCCACCCACTCACTCACCCACTCACTCACTCAACCACTCACTCACCCACTCACTCACCCACCCACTCCACTCACTCACTCACCCACTCACCCACCCACTCACTCACCCACCCACTCCACTCACTCACTCACCCACCCACTCACCCACTCACCCACTCACCCACCCACCCACTCACCCACCCACTCACTCTCTCACCCACCCACCCACCCACTCCACCCACCACCCACTCACCCACCCACTTACCCACCCACCCACACCACTCACTTGAGCACAGTCTTGGGACTGCTACAGTCCTCGAAGCGAATCAAGAACCCGACCTCCTGGCCCAGCGCCACGTCCATCTCGTCCATCACACGCTGGGCCACGCTCATCGCAGCCACACTCCACCCACCACCACCCACCCACTCCACCCACCACTCACTCCACCCACCCACTCACTCACCCACTCACTCACTCACCCACCCACTCACCCACCCACCCACTCACTCCACCCACACCCACCCACACCACTCACTTGAGCACAGTCTTGGGACTGCTACAGTCCTCGAAGCGAATCGAGAACCCGACCTCCTGGCCCAGCGCCACGTCCATCTCGTCCATCACACGCTGGGCCACGCTCATCGCGGCCACACTCCACCCACCACCACCCACCCACCCACCCACCACCCACTCCACCCACTCACTCACTCACCACCCACTCACTCATCCACTCACTCACTCACCCACTCACCCACCCACTCACTCACCCACTCACTCACTCAACCACTCACTCACCAACACACCACACACACACCAACACACACCACACACTCACTCACTCACCCACTCACCCACCCACTCACTCACCCACCCACTCCACTCACACACTCACCCACCCACTCACCCACTCACCCACTCACCCACCCACCCACTCACCCACCCACTCACTCTCTCACCCACCCACCCACCCACTCCACCCACCACCCACTCACCCACCCACTTACCCACCCACCCACACCACTCACTTGAGCACAGTCTTGGGACTGCTACAGTCCTCGAAGCGAATCAAGAACCCGACCTCCTGGCCCAGCGCCACGTCCATCTCGTCCATCACACGCTGGGCCACGCTCATCGCAGCCACACTCCACCCACCACCACCCACCCACTCCACCCACCACTCACTCCACCCACCCACTCACTCACCCACTCACTCACTCACCCACCCACTCACCCACCCACCCACTCACTCCACCCACACCCACCCACACCACTCACTTGAGCACAGTCTTGGGACTGCTACAGTCCTCGAAGCGAATCGAGAACCCGACCTCCTGGCCCAGCGCCACGTCCATCTCGTCCGCTACGCGCTGGGCCACGCTCATCGCGGCCACGCGGCGGGGCTGGGTGCAGGCCACACCACGACGCACCAGGCCGGCCCCACCGGGCCCGCTCGCAGCTGCGTTCGCAGCAGCCGCACGGACAAAGTCAACGCACCACTGCGGGATCTGTGGGGGGGGGAGGAGAGAGAGAGTGGGACAGTCGGTGGGTCAGTGGGTCAGTGGGTCAGTCGGTCAGACAGTGAGTCAGTCAGTCAGTCAGTGAGTCAGTCAGTCAGTGAGTCAGTCAGTCAGTGAGTCAGTCAGTCAGTCAGTGAGTCAGACAGCCAGTGAGTCAGTCAGTCAGTGAGTCAGTCAGTTAGTCAGTCAGTGAGTCAGACAGTCAGTGAGTCAGTCAGTCAGTCAGTGAGTCAGTCAGTGAGTCAGTCGGTCAGTGAGTCAGTGAGTGAGTCAGTCGGTCAGTGAGTCAGTGAGTGAGTCAGTCAGTCAGTGAGTCAGTCAGTCAGTCAGTGAGTCAGTGAGTGAGTGAGTCAGTCAGTCAGTGAGTCAGTCAGTCAGTGAGTCAGTCAGTCAGTCAGACAGTCAGTCAGTCAGTGAGTCAGTCAGACAGTGAGTGAGTCAGTCAGTCAGTGAGTCAGTCAGTCAGTGAGTCAGTCAGTCAGTGAGTCAGTCAGTGAGTCAGACAGTCACTCAGTCACTTAGTAAGTCAGACAGTCACTCACTCACCAGCCTAACCACCAACTCACCAGCCGACCCAACCACCCACCCACCCACCCGCTCACTCACCCACTCATCCACACAGCCACTCGCTCACCCACCAACCGGCTCACCCACCCACCAACCCGCTCACCCACTCACCCACCCACTCACCCACTCACTCACCCACTCACTCACCCACTCACTCACTCACCCACCCACCCACTCACCTACCCACCCACCCACTCACCTACCCACCCACCCACTCACCCACCCACCCACTCACTCACCCACTCGTTCACCCACCCACTCGTTCACTTACTCACTCACCCACTCACTAACCCACCCACCCACTCACCCACTCGTTCACCCACCCACTCACCCACTCACTCACTCACTCACCCACTCACTCACTCACCCACTCGTTCACCCACCCACCCACTCACTCACCCACTCACCCACCCACTCACTCACTCACTCACCCACCCACTCGTTCACTCACCCACCCACTCACTCACCCACTCACTCACTCACTCACCCACTCACTCACCCACTCACTCACTCACTCACCCACCCACCCAATCACTCACTCACTCACTCACCCACCCACTCACTCACCCACCCACCCACTCACCCACCCGCTCACCCACCCACCCACCCACTCACTCACCCATCCACCCACTCACTCACCCATCCACTCACCCACTCACTCACCCACCCACTCACTCACCCACTCGTTCACCCACCCGCTCGTTCACCCACCCACTCACTCGTTCACCCACCCACCCACCTACCCACCCACCCACTCACCTACCCACCCACCCACTCACCCACCCACCCACTCACTCACCCACTCGTTCACCCACCCACTCGTTCACTCACTCACTCACCCACTCACTAACCCACCCACCCACTCACCCACTCGTTCACCCACCCACTCACCCACTCACTCACTCACCCACTCACTCACTCACCCACTCGTTCACCCACCCACCCACTCACTCACCCACTCACCCACCCACTCACTCACTCACTCACCCACCCACTCGTTCACTCACCCACCCACTCACTCACCCACTCACTCACTCACCCACTCACTCACCCACTCACTCACCCACCCACCCAATCACTCACTCACTCACCCACCCACCCACTCACCCACCCGCTCACCCACCCACCCACCCACTCACTCACCCATCCACCCACTCACTCACCCACTCACTCACCCACCCACTCACTCACCCACTCGTTCACCCACCCGCTCGTTCACCCACCCACTCACTCGTTCACCCACCCACCCACCTACCCACCCACCCACTCACCTACCCACCCACCCACTCACCCACCCACCCACTCACTCACCCACTCGTTCACCCACCCACTCGTTCACTCACTCACTCACCCACTCACTAACCCACCCACCCACTCACCCACTCGTTCACCCACCCACTCACCCACTCACTCACTCACCCACTCACTCACCCACTCGTTCACCCACCCACCCACTCACTCACCCACTCACCCACCCACTCACTCACTCACTCACCCACCCACTCGTTCACTCACCCACCCACTTACTCACCCACTCACTCACTCACCCACTCACTCACCCACCCGCTCACCCACCCACCCACCCACTCACTCACCCATCCACCCACTCACTCACCCATCCACTCACCCACTCACTCACCCACCCACTCACTCACCCACTCGTTCACCCACCCGCTCGTTCAACCACCCACTCACTCGTTCACCCACCCACCCACCTACCCACCCACCCACTCACCTACCCACCCACCCACTCACCCACCCACCCACTCACTCACCCACTCGTTCACCCACCCACTCGTTCACTCACTCACTCACCCACTCACTAACCCACCCACCCACTCACCCACTCTTTCACCCACCCACTCACCCACTCACTCACTCACCCACTCACTCACTCACCCACTCGTTCACCCACCCACCCACTCACTCACCCACTCACCCACCCACTCACTCACTCACTCACCCACCCACTCGTTCACTCACCCACCCACTCACTCACCCACTCACTCACTCACCCACTCACTCACCCACTCACTCACCCACCCACCCAATCACTCACTCACTCACCCACCCACCCACTCACCCACCCGCTCACCCACCCACCCACCCACTCACTCACCCATCCACCCACTCACTCACCCATCCACTCACCCACTCACTCACCCACCCACTCACTCACCCACTCGTTCACCCACCCGCTCGTTCACCCACCCACTCACTCATTCACCCACCCACCCACCTGCCCACCCACCCACCCACCTGTGTAGTCTTCCCCGACCCAGTCTCTCCCACCAGCACCATCTGCTGGTGCTTTTCCAGCGTGAGCATGAAACGTTCCTTACCACTCACCCACTCACCCACTCACTCACCCACCCACTCACTCACTCACCCACTCACTAACCCACCCACTCACTCACCCACCCACTCACTCACCCACTCACTAACCCACCCACTCACTCACTCACTAACCCACCCACTCACTCACTCACCCACTCGTTCACCCACCCACTCGTTCACTCACCCACCCACCCACTCACTCACCCACCCACTCACCCACCCACCCACCCGCCCACCCACCCACCCACCTGTGTAGTCTTCCCCGACCCAGTCTCTCCCACCAGCACCATCTGCTGGTGCTTTTCCAGCGTGAGCATGAAGCGTTCCTTACCACTCACCCACTCACTCACTCACTAACCCACCCACTCACTCACTCACCCACTCACTCACTCACTCACCCACCCACCCACCCACTCACTCACCCACCCACTCACTCACCCACTCGTTCACCCACCCACTCGTTCACTCACCCACTCACTAACCCACCCACTCACCCACCCACTCGTTCACTCACCCACCCACCCACCCACTCACTCACCCACCCACTCACTCACCCACCCACCCACCCGCCCACCCACCCGCCCACCCACCCACCCACCTGTGTAGTCTTCCCCGACCCAGTCTCTCCCACCAGCACCATCTGCTGGTGCTTTTCCAGCGTGAGCATGAAGCGTTCCTTACCACTCACCCACCCACCCACTCACTCACTAACCCACCCACTCACTCACTCACCCACTCGTTCACCCACCCACTCGTTCACTCACCCACCCACCCACTCACTCACCCACCCACCCACTCACTCACCCACCCACTCACTCACTCACCCACTCACTCACTCACCCACGCGTTCACTCACTCACCCACTCACTCACCCACTCACTCACTCACTCACCCACTCACTCACTCACTAACCCACCCACTCACTCACCCACTCGTTCACCCACCCACTCGTTCACTCACCCACTCACTCACCCACCCACTCACCCACTCGTTCACCCACCCACTCGTTCACTCACCCACCCACCCACCCACTCACTCACCCACCCACCCACCCACTCACCCACCCACTCACCCACCCACTCGTTCACCCACCTGTGTAGTCTTCCCCGACCCAGTCTCTCCCACCAGCACCATCTGCTGGTGCTTTTCCAGCGTGAGCATGAAGCGTTCCTTACCACTCACCCACCCACCCACTCACTCACTAACCCACCCACTCACTCACTCACCCACTCGTTCACCCACCCACTCGTTCACTCACCCACCCACCCACTCACTCACCCACCCACCCACTCACTCACCCACCCACTCACTCACTCACCCACTCACTCACTCACCCACGCGTTCACTCACTCACCCACTCACTCACCCACTCACTCACTCACTCACCCACTCACTCACTCACTCACTCACTAACCCACCCACTCACTCACCCACTCGTTCACCCACCCACTCGTTCACTCACCCACTCACTCACCCACCCACTCACCCACTCGTTCACCCACCCACTCGTTCACTCACCCACCCACCCACCCACTCACTCACCCACCCACCCACCCACTCACCCACCCACTCACCCACCCACTCGTTCACCCACCTGTGTAGTCTTCCCCGACCCAGTCTCTCCCACCAGCACCATCTGCTGGTGCTTTTCCAGCGTGAGCATGAAGCGTTCCTTACCACTCACCCACTCACTCACTCACTAACCCACCCACTCACTCACTCACCCACTCACTCACTCACTAACCCACCCACTCACTCACTCACCCACTCACCCACCCACTCACTCACCCACTCACTAACCCACCCACTCACTCACCCACCCACTCGTTCACCCACCCACCCACCCGCCCACCCACCCACCCACCTGTGTAGTCTTCCCCGACCCAGTCTCTCCCACCAGCACCATCTGCTGGTGCTTTTCCAGCGTGAGCATGAAGCGTTCCTTACCACTCACCCACTCACTCACTCACTAACCCACCCACTCACTCACTCACCCACTCACTCACTCACTAACCCACCCACTCACTCACTCACCCACTCACCCACTCACTCACCCACCCACTCACTAACCCACCCACTCACTCACCCACCCACTCGTTCACCCACCCACCCACCCGCCCACCCACCCACCCACCTGTGTAGTCTTCCCCGACCCAGTCTCTCCCACCAGCACCATCTGCTGGTGCTTTTCCAGCGTGAGCATGAAGCGCTCTCGGTACTCCCAGACGGGCAGAGCGACGCGCTTCTTCAGGATCTCGTAGTAGCGGGGGGTGTAGGGCAGGCCGGTGAAGGGGTTCAGGGTGAGGCCCTGGGGGGACCGCAAGGGCGGGACGAGACCCCCAGAGAAGCCACTGGCGCCCAGGCCGGGAGGGAGGCCCAGCGTGGCGGGAAACACCTTGGGGGGTGGTGGTGGTGGTGGTGTTACATACACAGTGTTACACAGTGTTACACACACACAGTGTTACACAGTGTTACACACACACAGTGTTACACACACACAGTGTTACACACACACAGTGTTACACAGTGTTACACACACACAGTGTTACACACACACACAGTGTTACACAGTGTTACACACACACAGTGTTACACACACAGTGTTACACACACACAGTGTTACACACACACACACAGTGTTACACACACACAGTGTTACACACACACACAGTGTTACACACACACAGACCCCCAGAGAAGCCACTGGCGCCCAGGCCGGGAGGGAGGCCCAGCGTGGCGGGAAACACCTTGGGGGGTGGTGGTGGTGGTGGTGGTGGTGTTACATACACACAGTGTTACACAGTGTTACACACACTGTGTTACACAGTGTTACACACACACACAGTGTTACAGTGTTACACACACACACACAGTGTTACACATAGTGTTACACACACACAGTGTTACACATAGTGTTACACACACACACAGTGTTACACAGTGTTACACACACAGTGTTACACAGTGTTACACAGTGTTACACACACACAGTGTTACACAGTGTTACACACACAGTGTTACACAGTGTTACACACACACAGTGTTACACACACACACAGTGTTACACAGTGTTACACACACACAGTGTTACACACACAGTGTTACACAGTGTTACACACACACACAGTGTTACAGTGTTACACACACACAGTGTTACAGTGTTACACACACACACACACAGTGTTACACACACACACACACAGTGTTACAGTGTTACACACACACACACACAGTGTTACACACACACACACACAGTGTTACACACACAGTGTTACACAGTGTTACACACACAGTGTTACACACACACACAGTGTTACACACACACACAGTGTTACACAGTGTTACACACACACACACAGTGTTACACACACACAGTGTTACACACACACACACAGTGTTACACACACACAGTGTTACACACACACACAGTGTTACACATACAGTGTTACACACACAGTGTGTTACACAGTGTTACACACACACAGTGTTACACACACAGTGTTACACACACACAGTGCTACACAGTGTTACACACACACAGTGTTACAGTGTTACACACACACACAGTGTTACACACACACACAGTGTTACACAGTGTTACACACACACAGTGTTACACACACAGTGTTACACAGTGTTACACACACACACAGTGTTACAGTGTTACACACACACAGTGTTACAGTGTTACACACACACACACACAGTGTTACACACACACACACACAGTGTTACAGTGTTACACACACACACACACAGTGTTACACACACACACACACAGTGTTACACACAGTGTTACACACACAGTGTTACACAGTGTTACACACACAGTGTTACACACACACACAGTGTTACACACACACACAGTGTTACACAGTGTTACACACACACACACAGTGTTACACACACACACACAGTGTTACACACACACAGTGTTACACACACACACAGTGTTACACACACACACACAGTGTTACACACACACAGTGTTACACACACACACAGTGTTACACACACACAGTGTTACACACACACAGTGTTACACACACACACAGTGTTACACACACAGTGTTACACACACACAGTGTTACACACACACACAGTGTTACACACACACACAGTGTTACACACACAGTGTTACACACACACACACAGTGTTACACACACACACAGTGTTACACACACACACAGTGTTACACACACACACAGTGTTACACACACACAGTGTTACACACACACACAGTGTTACACACACACACAGTGTTACACACACACACAGTGTTACACACACACAGTGTTACACAGTGTTACACACACACAGTGTTACACACACACACACAGTGTTACACACACACACAGTGTTACACACACACACACAGTGTTACACACACACACACAGTGTTACACACACACACACACAGTGTTACACACACACACACACAGTGTTACACACACACACAGTGTTACACACACACACAGTGTTACACACACACACAGTGTTACACACACACACAGTGTTACACACACACACAGTGTTACACACACACACAGTGTTACACACACAAAGATACAAAGATCCCCCATATAGCCTTAACAGACTGTAGGGGCAAGTGCTGTTAGCGAGCACCTATGAAGGCCGGAACGGTACACGAGGGGGTGGGTGGCCAGCACCACGCCCGACCGCCTTTGTCTCCCCAGTGGCAATGTTTACACACCGCACCAGGTACTCATTTGAGGCTGAGTCGACCTAGGGGAGGCCTGGGACCGGTTCAGATAATCGTCACTGGTGTTGGCCGTGAGCGGGAATCGAACCCGGGTGGCCAGGTTCATAGCGCAGCGTAGCGCTAACCGCTACACTACACTATCGCTCCCCACTCACAGTGTTACACACACACACAGTGTTACACACACACACAGTGTTACACACACACACAGTGTTACACACACACACAGTGTTACACACACACACAGTGTTACACACACACACAGTGTTACACACACACACAGTGTTACACACACACACAGTGTTACACACACACAGTGTTACACACACACACACAGTGTTACACACACACACACACAGTGTTACACACACACACAGTGTTACACACACACACAGTGTTACACACACACACAGTGTTACACACACACACAGTGTTACACACACACACAGTGTTACACACACACACAGTGTTACACACACACAGTGTTACACACACACACAGTGTTACACACACACACAGTGTTACACACACACACAGTGTTACACACACACACAGTGTTACACACACACAGTGTTACACACACACACAGTGTTACACACACACACAGTGTTACACACACACAGTGTTACACACACACACAGTGTTACACACACACACAGTGTTACACACACACAGTGTTACACAGTGTTACACACAGTGTTACACACACAGTGTTACACACACACAGTGTTACACAGTGTTACACACACACAGTGTTACACAGTGTTACACACACACAGTGTTACACACATAGTGTTACAGTGTTACACACATAGTGTTACACACACAGTGTTACACACACAGTGTTACACAGTGTTACACACATAGTGTTACACACACAGTGTTACACACACAGTGTTACACACACACAGTGTTACACAGTGTTACATACAGTGTTACACACACACAGTGTTACACACACAGTGTTACACAGTGTTACACACATAGTGTTACACACACAGTGTTACACACACACAGTGTTACACAGTGTTACATACAGTGTTACACACACAGTGTTACACACACACACAGTGTTACACACACACAGTGTTACACAGTGTTACACACACACACAGTGTTACACACACACACACAGTGTTACACAGTGTTACACATACAGTGTTACAGACACACACACACAGTGTTACACACACACAGTGTTACACACACAGTGTTACACACACACAGTGTTACACAGTGTTACACACACACACAGTGTTACACACACACACACACAGTGTTACACAGTGTTACACATACAGTGTTACACACACACAGTGTTACATACACACACAGTGTTACACACACACAGTGTTACACAGTGTTACACACACACACAGTGTTACACACACACACAGTGTTACACAGTGTTACACACATAGTGTTACACAGTGTTACACACATAGTGTTACACACACAGTGTTACACACACAGTGTTACACAGTGTTACACACATAGTGTTACACACACAGTGTTACACACACAGTGTTACACACACACAGTGTTACACAGTGTTACACATACAGTGTTACAGACACACACACAGTGTTACACACACACACAGTGTTACACACACACAGTGTTACACAGTGTTACACACACACACAGTGTTACACACACACACACAGTGTTACACAGTGTTACACATACAGTGTTACAGACACACACACAGTGTTACACACACACACAGTGTTACACACACAGTGTTACACACACACAGTGTTACACAGTGTTACACACACACACAGTGTTACACACACACACAGTGTTACACACACACACAGTGTTACACACACAGTGTTACACACACACAGTGTTACACAGTGTTACACACACACACAGTGTTACACACACACACACAGTGTTACAGTGTTACACATACAGTGTTACAGACACACACACACAGTGTTACACACACACACAGTGTTACACACACAGTGTTACACACACACAGTGTTACACAGTGTTACACACACACACAGTGTTACACACACACACACAGTGTTACACAGTGTTACACATACAGTGTTACACACACACAGTGTTACATACACACACAGTGTTACACACACAGTGTTACACACACACAGTGTTACACAGTGTTACACACACACACAGTGTTACACACACACACAGTGTTACACAGTGTTACACACATAGTGTTACACAGTGTTACACACATAGTGTTACACACACAGTGTTACACACACAGTGTTACACAGTGTTACATACAGTGTTACACACACAGTGTTACACACACACACAGTGTTACACACACACAGTGTTACACAGTGTTACACACACACACAGTGTTACACACACACACACAGTGTTACACAGTGTTACACATACAGTGTTACAGACACACACACAGTGTTACACACACACACAGTGTTACACACACAGTGTTACACACACACAGTGTTACACAGTGTTACACACACACACAGTGTTACACACACACACAGTGTTACACACACACACACAGTGTTACACACACAGTGTTACACACACACAGTGTTACACAGTGTTACACACACACACAGTGTTACACACACACACACAGTGTTACACAGTGTTACACATACAGTGTTACACAGTGTTACACACACACAGTGTTACATACACAGTG